CGATGGGATTTGAACACCCAACCTACCACTTGGAGGGTTGACAACCTGACCACTTCACTAGGTCGCCACACCCTAGAGAAAGCAATTATAACAGCAGCAAATAAATATATACTAAAGAAGAAGGTTTACAACATGATGATAAACAGAAAACATAGCCAAAAAGATCGACAGCAAGAAAAAATTATCATAGAGCTTCAAAGACTAGTCAAGTATGCAAAAACAAAAAGAGGACAGAAAGTAACAGAAGCAAATAAAAGTGAAGTGAATAGAAACCTCAAAATGCTTAGCAAGAAAATTAGTACAAAACTACCAAAAATCAAAAACAATAGTCTGATGCTTGGATAAAGGATATAAAAAGCTGGCAAAAAATTTTGCAAGAGAAAAGAAAAAAAGATCAAGAACAGAAACAAAGAAAACAAATAAAAGATAATATAGACAAAAGATGTGAAATGATCAAAACTGATCAAGAGAAGATAATAGCTAGCCTTTTAAACAAGCTATACAAGAAAATAACAATTAACAGAATAATCAAACAATCAGAAGAAGAAACTAGACTAGTAATAAAAGCAGAACTGGTTAAAGAAGCAACTGTAGAATACTACAAGAAGCAGTTTAGGAAAAGAAATACAAAATTAGAAGAGATGTCAGAAAGCTGGAAAGAAATTTATAAACCACAAGACTATATTAAAGAAGAATGATATAGGGAAATCAAAAAGAAAATTGAAAAAGAGGAATAAGATAGAATAATTAAAGAACTCAAGACAGGAACAGCTCCAGAAATATTAGAAATAAGGTATATCTTAATCAAGTGAGCAGAAAGAAAAACTTAAAAGGTTTTTAGAGTCTACACAAATTTGTGCTAAGAAATAAGAGAAATACCAATGAAATAGAAAATAGCACAAGTATATCCATTACCAAAAGACATAGAATAGAGATATAGTTTAAATAATATTTGTCCAATAGCTTTAATTGAAACATTCAAAAAGGTTGTACATATGGGCGGATTTGACTTCGATCACAAAAAATGTGATTATTGCAAAATAAACGCTGATTGGTTGATTTATTTAACACAATAGTAAATATAGTAAATTTAGGACTTCATAAAAATAAACATTTTTTAAATATAATACACTTTGAATTTTCATATTCGTATTCAACAAGACCCCAGATTCAAGGATCCAAAATTCTTTTTTTCAGATCCAAAATTCTTGCTAGTGACAATGCCAGTGGGTAGATCATGTAAAAACATAGGTCCATGTACAATATGTGGCAAACATGGTCTTAAAGAAAGGTTTCGCATATTAACACCAAGTCTTTTGTCCAAAGCTATGCAAAGCCTGGCTGCTCTAAATTTGAAGGTTGAGCTTAATTTAAATGATCAACTTTGTCATAAACATTATACAGAGTTGGTGGTATTTGATAGAAATTCAAGCCCAAATAAAAAACAGAAATATGGATTAAATTCAACATACAAGATTAACAAAAAGCATACAAATGACGAAAATTCTAATAAACAATTTAACCAAAGTAACATAGGTATTTCTAAATATGAGGAAGAGAAATTTGAATGGTACTTGAAATCCTCTATAGGTGGAAATCTTTATAGACAATTAAGCATTGGAAATTGTTACCGAAATGGCATAGGTGTTCTTAAAGATGAGAAAAAAGCATTCGAGTAGTACTTGAAATCTGCTAAGGGCGGAAATTCCAGTGGACAATTAAATGTTGGAAATTGCTACCGAAATGGGATGGGCGTTCCCAAAGACAAGAAGAAAGCATTTGAATGGTATATGAAATCTGCTAAGAGTGGAACTTCTGATGGAAAACTAAATGTTGGAAACTGTTACCAAAATGGAATAGGTGTTCCTAAAGATGAGAAAAAGGCTTTTAAATAGTACTTGAAATCTGCTAAGGGCAGAAATTCTAATGGACAATCAAATGTTGGAAATTGCTACCAACATGGTATAGGAATTCCTAAAGATGAAAAAAAGGCATTTGAATGGTATTTGAAGTCTTCTAGTAGTGGAAATTCCGATGAGCAATCAAACAGTGAATCATCTTACAGCCCAAATGTAATCTCAGCACCTTTAAATAAAAAAAACATTAAAAAAAGACCTTTTTCAAGTGTGCAATCAACATCAGGGCAAAATAAGTGATTTGTTGCCTTTGGAAGAGAATCTGAAAAAGAATTGTCATCACTAATTTTACAACATCAATTAGTTACAAAAAATCAACAGCCTCTTGTTCATGTGCGCAGTATTCAATTGGACGTTAATAATAAAAACATTAATTTGAATTACCATTTTTTTAATAAGAAAATGGAACTTTCTAAATTAGATGCTACTATTCGAGCATGCGATGAATCCTTGTTGTTCCGTGATGGCTATCGCCATCTGGCTGCTATTGAACCCCAACTCATTCGAGAGCATCAAGTTGCAATATGAAGAATTAAAATAACCAACATAATAAATGAAAAAATTAGAATTGGGACTTTTAATACTGATGAAGTATTGAATAGACAATCGGAAATCGGAAATGGTGCCTATAGAGCAATCAAATCTATT